GAATTCGTCTTTTAGTGAAGGTCGAAGGCCTTAAATTCAGCGTTCCCAAAGACTTCTCTGCTTTCCTTTGCACTTTCAGGTCGTTCCGCAGCTAAACTATTACTGCGAAGCGCTTATAGCACCAGTCTGATCCCGGGGTTTGCCTTTAGGCCACGAAAGCGGCATACTTCCAACCATTGTAGAGAGCTATAACTAATGGGAACTACCCACCTAGCTTCATCAGAGGATGTGTCTTTAGAAGTTTGGAATTTTAACAAGCTCCCTTACCTTCTGAATTTTTGAAGAGATGCTTTAGATTCATGCAGTAGTCAGCGTCCGTGGCCTGTCCACACAGGCTTACAAAATTGCCTTTCTTAGCACTAATATAGAAACCTTTCTATAGAGATGACTTTTTTTTACAGAATTCATCATGCTTATCAAAGGGCGAACATGACTGGAGGAGAGGGACACGGTGACAAGAAAGTGGACCAGAAACTCGTTGCGAACAGAAGTCGAAGTAGGAGCAGCTATGCATATCTTCATGCGTGTCACATGAGAGTTTCATTTTTCAAGGCAAACGCTTCGATAATTGTGCTTCTGACGTGGTCAGGCTTCCATGAGATTCTGCTGATCCTCTTTTTCTTCGAAAAAAAAACCCAGGCGCTGAAAAAAAAACGTAAATGGAATGGTGCTTAACAGCAGCAGGTGTCGTATAGTATCATTCGGTTCGCATCTCGCCGACTGTCTCCAAGCTTTATTTCTCTTTGGCGCCATCCACTCAGTCGGGCTACCGCGAGAGGCCTGGGCCAGAGAGAACGAAATGGAGGAGTCTGCGTTGCGTAGGATAAGGGTGAAATACACAATGAGAAGGAACTCTGCATGGTGCTCAAAGACGTGGCGCAACCAAAGAAGTCAAATGATATCAACACCGGCGTTTACCCTTCACTCTTATAGACGAGCAAACTATTCGATTGCTTATGATCAAGTTTTATTTGAAGTTCCTATTTTCGCAGATATAAAAGCTGATTCAAGTTCTGCTCACCACCGTTTTATGGCCTTTTTCTTTTTCATCGATGCTGCGCTAAATTTAGGGACACTAAAATTAATCCTCTGCGAAATTTATGGCACTTTCGGCTCAGCTGAGTTTTACGGCTGATTGATTCAATGACTGAATCTCAATGGATTCCAAATCGGTGACAAGATGGTGCACGCATATCAAATGAGGATAACTAAGGGAACTAAGGAAAACTGAAGCCAATATGTGTTCTCTTGAGACCGGGTTTGACATGTCTAGGTGATGCCATAATCGCAGATTTTTTTATCAGTGGAAGTCAAAAAAAACTTATCTTACGGAATGTTTCACGTATAGGCTTGGCGAATAAAGGATTAATTGGTTGGGGATTTTTGCTTCTTTTGGGATGCGCCACGTCCTACAGACATTCATCAATTCGATAGCATAAGGAGAGGGGGAGTCAAAGTGTGGACCGATGCTTTGCCTGTTGAGCAGAGATGATCCCGAACAACCGGACACGGAAAATGGAACAGTTTGCTTATTTGGGCAAAATTTAATCCTCGGGCCATGCGGGTGGCACAGAGCCATTTGCTACCGCCTCAGTTTCAAATTCCAAGGCAAATGGAAATGATCCCGAAAAAATCGATATCACGCATTTTGACCCATTCGATGCTTTCCGATGCCGATGTGTTGTTATTATTATGTATCTACAATTACGGCAGACCCAGCCTCGGGAACCAAGTTGTGCATGCCAAGCATTCATAGTTGGTCGTCCGATCGTAACGATCGTAACGATCGCACAACATTGGATAAGTATCGACCGTCATTGTCTGAGAACTGGACGAATTAGAAGGATCACTGAATAGCCGAATAGCCAATTCGCCGAATCGTCGGGGTCACTCATAGGGCTAAGCAATACAATCGATGTGCACCTAATCCTCTCAGCAGAATTGCCGAATCGCTGAGCCCGTGAGCCATGAACACTATGCAAAATGACGAAAATGAAGCATAGATAATCGCAATGACTGTGCAGTGTTAAACGACGCCTCTACTTATTGCACCATTTCCATATCACTGCAAACTACAGTCGATATCCGAAAGTTGGGGTGGGTGTGTCACCGGAAGTGACGTGCACTTGATAGAAGTTGCGTGGATAAGCTGTTGCCAGCATGCTTTGCTGATATCCAGCGATGTATGTTGGAAGCAGCTTATCCACATAGCTTCTATCAAGTGCACGTCACTTCCGGTGACACGCCTACCCCAACTTTCGATACCGAGTATACTTGTAAGCTGAAGCTTTTGTAATGTATGATAATGCGAAATGATATCACTTACGCCTTGTATTGATCAGCAATATCATGTAAAAAAAAAACTTGTACGGATTAATTTTGACCTTGTTTTGTTTGTCAGCTGCTCCGACATTTTAATGCCGTTTCCGTTGCGAATGTTTCACAAGAATCTAGGTTAGAAAACAATACTTTTGTTCATGACCCAGCATCCTTGTGAAACTTTTCTCTCAGCCATAGGTAACATTTGTATTCAAGCATTGTGCCTGTCACTTATTAAAGAGTTCTATATATCTTGCTTCGTATTTACACGTATTCGAGGAGAAAACTCGCGAAAGAAGTTATGTTCATGAAAGAGAAAGTTCGGTGGCCCATGGAAGGGTGAGGTAGGTCCAATTAGAAACATTATGTTTGGGTCCTGCGGCTGAAAGCGCCCTATTGACGAAAATATAGTGGACGCAAGTTTCCCTAAGGACCTGTAGTTGTGCGAAATGAATCACATGTAAGTATCAAACTGTAGGGCACTCTTCCGGTCACCAAAAAACGGTAACATACGCAATTTCTCCCATAGAATCAAAGGTATCCTTCACATCAAACGAGCAGATCGTCTGAACACTCTCCCTCCCGACTTGCCCGCAGTATAAAAGACGTTTCTATGTAAACTATTGCTCAAAGGATCTTTGATAAACCATTTTATCTCAAAGCAACACCTCCAGATCGATTTGGCGAGGTAAAAGCGGTCGATAATGAGCTTGCGGATGCCGAGTTGACTGTAAATGGAAAAAGAAACAAAGAAAACTGCCGATGAAGCGCTCAAACAGGGACTTCCTCTCCTCCCCTCGAAATAAGCGAGGGGGCAGAGTCAACCCTGCGTTGCGCAGTTTCAACGGCCACGTTGCGCAGTTTCGCCCGATTAGACACGTTCTCTCGCGCGAACATTCACACTCGCATGCTCGAGCCGTCTGCGTCTCCGCCCATACAGCGTGCGTTGAGGATCTCTCAACGTGCCGTTGCGAACTGCGCAACGCAGGGTTGACTCTGGCAGGTACGGACGATCCGAAGCTGGCTCCGCCGGACTATTTGTTGCTGCTCGCGCCGCTAATGCGGCTGCAAACGCACATGCAGCAATATATACAGAGTCATATGCACAAATACACATAAAGAAACATAATTACACTCCAAATCTCGAAGTCTGATTGGGCGTGTCACCGGAAATGACGTGGCAGCCACCGCACTTGATAGAAATTGCGCGGATAAGCTGCTTCCAGCATGCTTCGCTGATATCTGGCGGAGTATCTTATCCACGTGGCATCTAGCAAGTGCGATGGCTGCCACGTCATTTCCGGTGACACGCCCAATCAGAGTTCGAGATACCGACTGTAAACGAATTAAAACCCCGTCGAAGAACCGCAGCATTCCTTCCAACGCGCGGGCTTACTCGCAACTCACGTAGGATCACGGCCAGGCCGAATCACAGGATGCTAGTCGTGAGATCAGTGGAAACAGGGCCAATCGAGCTGCGAACACGTTCAATGATCCCTTTTTTTGTTCAGCGACACTTTTTATGTTCTTGACAAAGGTCCACACATCTTTTCACGCCATTAGTAGTGAAAGCGTACGAATACATTTTTCTGAAAGTTCCTTTTGAGCTGCATGAGTCCCCTCATGGGGAACAGAACAAGCACTTCTTTTTAAAGAACCCAACGACGGCATATGAGTGAAACATTTCGCAGTTTTCAATTCCTGCCTAGAACCACAAGGCTCCAGGCAGGAATTGCAAACTGTGTAATGTTTCACTCACAAAAAACAAAAAAGGCTATATAATCAATTTTATAATGGTTGAGGTATACAGATGTTGAATATTCACAGACAATGCTAGAAACTCTTCAGAAAAAGAAAATTGTAGGAAGAATGTGGACTCATCAAGCTAAGCTTTTGCAAAACAAGTAACAAAAACAGTGAATAACAAGAGAATAAAAATGAAAAGGAAACGTGTAAACAATAAAATTAAATTCGGTCTTCTGATAAGTGTTATTAGACTGCTATTAAACATTTCTGTGCCCTATCTATGTAAAACTTCTGAGTACTTCAACTATCACATCGATGAAAAAAAACCAAAAAGAACCTGATTCCACCACGATGAAGCACAGCAGAGAGCACACAAGATAAAGAAATCTTCTTTTATTTATACAGCATGTGGGCCTTTCCTAGCATCCATATGTGAGCATACAACTCGGCTCAACTGAAAGACCAAATCTCGGTGTCCCCAGCAAACTTGTCAGGCTCCTAAACCGGCTTAAGTATAGCCTAACACATCTATGCTGCATCTACTGCTAGATTGTCCTTTGCACAGATAACAGCCATCGGCGGCCCTCAAAATCCACTCAAAATTCCTAGCAGGCCCGGCAATCTCACAAGAAATCGTGGGAAGAGAAGCGTTCTGAAGAAGAGCTAGCACTCAGCATGGAATTTGTCCAGAGCAGATCCATAAAGGCGAACATAGCCGGAATTAGGTTCTTAGCCTCCAAAAGCCTCGACGGGCTCTAACCCAAATACCACAAAACTGACTAACCTGTCCGCGACAGAAGCCTTAGTCATGAGTGTAAGCCGATAGGCGACGCTGGCGTCGCATCCTTCGCAAACACGCGTAATTCGTCTCGCCATTTGGTGGGCAGTTTTTCAAAACGCATACGACCCCTTTCTCGCACGGAGAAAATGATACTTCATGCGAAATACATATCACGCTGGTACGCGAGATTATCCCTATAAAAGCGAACCTAGCTATGCTGATTAAAAAGGGCGAAACCAAACTCGTGTGCCAATTTGAAAATATTAGTTATCTAACAATAATGTGCAGAACAAGCACACTACTCTCTTTGGCAAAATCCTTTTATATTTGCTCCTGGATGAGGCAATTTTCCCTATAATGCACGAGAAGCAAACCTTTGTGATAATTCAGGTGGTCCTCCAGTAAACCATTAGTCGCGAAAGCCTTCCCGCAACCTTCCCAGTTGCAGACATATTTTCGAGTTCTTCTATACTGAGAGTATGCTTTATCATGGACCTAAAACAAACTCATTTAAATTTAAGACATAGACAGGGCAAAGTAACCTCCCCTTCAAAAAGCGAGAAAGTGTCGGGTGCAGACCAAACACCACAACTGACGACGGCCTCCAAGTAAATCTGGTTAGAAGTTGTTCATAGTGATAGCTGATTTCTGGTAAATGATAGTTGTAATTAGTGACAATCGATAGAATACAACTGCAACAGGCTAATCATTTCATTGGCAGAAAACATTAACATTTTGTGAAGGCCGTCGTCACTTGTGGTGCATGGTCTGCACCCGACACTTTCTCGCTTTTTGAAGGGGAGGGTAAAGCCGCTTTTACTACAACACCACTACAATTCCTTCAACACAACGCGAGGAGTCTGTATACCATGATAATCCAGGAATCTAACATTCCAGCTGACCATGAAAATTGTTTCACTAGTCTTCACAGTCTTTTAATTAATGGATCTTATATTGCTTACACTTCGTATGTGCTTCTTTAGAAGATAGGGACTTCGATATTGTTTCCCGCATCGAGCACATTGCATGCCTGAAGCTGAGTTAAAATAGATTCAATAGCACCACCTTAATTTTGCAACATCCTTCACTGACAAGAATACTACGCCTTCGCAACAATGCAAGAGCAATTTGACTGAGCAATATCAGTAAATATCCTATATAATGATATACTTGACTCTAAGGAACTGACCAATGGCATTCCCCTTCAATTTTGGAAAGGAGGGCTTTTCAGAAACGTCAGGTTCGTCGCCATCAGACGGTAGATCGTCCGAATTGTTTGAAGTGGATGCACATTCTGATATCGATGCCGTTGTGCAACTAGCTAATCTTTTTGATATCGGTGCGGGCATTGATGAACCTGAAGAAACAATTCCAAGAAAATTTTGATTGTATTCATGTTCCCTTGTTGCCTAAACGATACCAGTGTATGATTGGTGAAATGGTTACAATAAAATATTTGAGAAATAAAAAACAAATTCGGTGCAAGAAGGGGCTCAAATCGCCTAATTCCACCGATTTGCACGCAAAGCGAAGATTCCACCACCTATCACGAAAAATCAAAAAGCTGCTAGAAATAACCCACAACTAGTTGAGTCCAACTCTTGCACACCAACATATTCTTCACTGACATCCGATTGTCCGTGGACCGAATGCAAGTGGTTTTCCAAATCACCCAGTAAAACATGAATAGTGCAATCAGGCATTGGACACAGTATTCCCCGTTCGTGAACGCTGCAACAATTGTTATTAACCAAATATCGGTCCAAATTCGTGAAGAAGTCTATGTATAGCACGGACTACCCACTTCATCAAATGCGAATTGAAATCCTCTAAATCACTTGTAATGAAGTCGCAGTGGGGACACATAAGGCGCAAAACATCGCCTGCGGAAGAAACCTTCGAATGCACATCACGTGGACATGCGGAAGGTACGCTGTCCGGGGTGCATCGTTCGTAAATGATCTCTGAACGAATTTCCTTTTTAGTTATGAAATAATATGCTTGTGCTGAAGATCAATCATACTTCAAATTTCTCCTTCCAACACGCACATTGCAGCCAGCCACTGTACACACGACACCATTTTGATGATTAGCGACAGAGTGCTTCCGAACCAGAGCAAGTACCTGAAGTCAAAGAAGTTCTTATTGTTAGCCGTATGACTTCCAATGGGAACTACGGCATGGAGCGCAACGATTAAAACAGCAGCTAACCTTGTGAGAAAATTGGCAATACTGACAACGGTGAACTATCGGATGTTCTGTGGCGACATGCGTCCGCAGTTTAGAATACTCATCAAAACGTTTCTCACATTTGGAGCATACGTGTGACCCTTGAAACACAGGCAGTTAGAGAAAGAAGTATAATTGTAAGCCGCAGTAGCTCACCACTATGTCTGTTGTTTATATGACGTTTGACTTTGCTCGGAAAAGGAGCTGAGTAAGTGCAGTAAGGGCAGCTAAAGAAGAATCAATTTTAACACCTTCTAGTGGTTATTTCTTTCTCACTGCCAGAACTTACGTGTGCCTGTTTGCCGAATCACGCATCCGTCGCCTAGCATCTTCGGCGAGAATTTCTTTTCTCTCCTTGGAGCCAACCTTCGGGAGAACACGACGAGGTTTTCTGAGTTTTCTCTTTACTCCGCGTGGAAACTTAACGAATCATGTGACTTACAAGGGAAGGATACCAGGTCGAAGTGGCCATTTGTAACGAGACATACACCACTAGATGTGTTTTTGGACGCTGATCTCGAATCTGCTCTCCAAATCTGCGAAACGATTCTCTGAACGTAGTTATGAAGCGAGATAGTGCAGTGGCAGCGGCCCGGGCCGACGACAAGAGGTCGTGAGATCGACTTCTTGGCGAGTTCTCACTTTTGCTTTTCTTGAAAACATTGTTTAAAGAACTTTATCCATGCTAAGTCATCAGCGATTGCCTATCATACAAGTGGAAAGAGCTGGCGAAGTGCTTCGAACACTGTGCGCGTCATTTGCAAGTGACCGTCTCTGGCACCCGTAGCGCATGCGTCATGCACTTTCTTGCCAATAGATGTGATTTTCGTGTTCAGCGCATCAAACTACCCCTTCCGACAACTTTTGGTCCAAATCCAAAATTTTGACCTAAAGTCGAAAATGTGGGCACACACGACCGACAGGACACGGCAAATGACGCGCACAGTGTTCGAAGCTCTTTGCCAGCTCTTCCACTTGTAGGATAGGCAGTCGCTGATGATTTAGCATGCATAAGAGTCCTTTGAACAATGTTTTCAAGAAAAGCAGCTGAGAACTCGCCAAGAAGTCGATCTCACGACCTCTTGCTCGTCGGCCCGGGCCGCTGCCACTGCACTATCTCGCTTCATAACTACGTTCAGAGAATCGTTTCGCAGATTTGGAGAGCAGATTCGAGATCAGCGTCCAAAAACACATCTAGTGGTGTATGTCTCGTTACAAATGGCCACTTCGACCTGGTATCCTTCCCTTGTTAGTTGTCAGAGATCAGAACAAAGAGAGCAGATGTGTCTTGCTACCTAAAAAAATATACTGGTTCAGCCCAATGCGCGTTTTCTATGATGTCTCTTACCACTGCGGGGAAGGAAAGGACGAACAACTGCATTCAGTCTGATTCGCTGCACTATTTATGGAGTGGTTCTATTCACTCTTCATGTGAAATTTAAGGTTTAAACGTCCAGGGCATTTTTATTTCAAGATAATAACGAGGAAGAGGCGGAGGGGTGAGCTTATTGAGAATTTTCTGTGGAAGATAGTGAAGGGAAAGTGAAATGTAATGACATGGAATTGACTGAGGGACTCGGATTCAGCCATTCGACCAACCACCGACACCTCCAACCCCTTGAAAAAGCCTGCAGGTTGGGCCACTGAACGCGTGGCTTATGGGATAAATCAGTAACAAATTCTGAAAAATGCCTTACCGATGGACGAAATAGGAGGTGTGGTCTGCTCTTTCAAGCTTATTTCGTTTCCTCTAGATTCCATCGATCCATTTGCATCAGTTGATACGTGTTCTTCTCTTTTATCCTCTAGCTGTTTAGATACGTCAGTTGGAAACATGCGCGGAGGTGGTCGGCAATTTTCTAACAAAGGTACTAGACTTCGTGTGATATTCGCATAAGGACGCTGCTGTCTTTCGCACGAATGACTTCCTTCAGATGATGACACCGGGATGCAATTTTGGCAAGACAGTTCATCACTCTGCACATTCCCGCACTTCTCATCACCATTTGCATCTTCCAGTAGGCATCTTTTAATGGGCGAATTCGGACACGATCGCACAACCCCGTTGCATCTCTTCTGAAAATTATAATTTCGTAGCCTAAGCGATCACAAGAAAGCAAGCACATGACAATTTCTTACATTTCTTTTCACGTGATCCGAAACAGCGAAAGGTGTCCTCGCAAACACTTCGTCGCAATTTCGGAAATTTATGATCAGCAAGACCGTCCTTGTTCTTCACAACGCGAGAGTCTAGAAACCGGCGTTATATAAGTGGTGTCAAATGAGTAGCGCAGGATTGTGACGATTACACCTCCTCCCCCTTCGACAGGACGCTGACGCCAGTTTGCCAGCGGTATATAGCATCAAAATCCTTGAAATTTTCGCTATCACACTTGACACTGACAAAGGCACATTGGAATCACGTTGAGCATACCGCCCAAGAGGAAATTAAATATGAAAGGAGAAAATAGGAACAGGAAAAAATTCGGTCATTTGAATCTGGTAAATTTCACAATTTACTTGCGCAAAAGAAAAAACAAATTCCACAGCGAAGAAGAAAATAATCAAAGAAATAATAATAATGAAAAAAATTCGAACAACACTCACCAGAACTACTTGGCTTTTTCCGCCGTTCTTTCTTCCTGTTCTCCTGTGTTACTCCCATTCCAAAAAAAATAATCAATATATTACCGAATACATGGGAATTTCTCAGATACATACGGAAATGAAAATCAAAAACATTTCCCATTTAGATTTCATCAACCGCTGCAAGTATAAGCCGATTCAACGTATTTAGGAAGCAGTCTTTGAGTTTCCAAAACCGTTTATTCTTAAAAAACAAGCGGTGCTGCACGAACATTAGAATTAAACAAAGCAAAAACACAGCTGCACAATAAATGAAATTTATAAGTCAACAAGATTCTGGAAAATCAACAACTAGAACTAGCGAAAACAGTTACTAATTGAGCATGAGTGGGACTTCAATTGAAGGTATCACAGTTGCACTTCGCGTTCATAATGAACAGTAAACGTCAATCCTCATCCGGCGGCAATAGCGCAAATTCTGCAGAGTCATCAGCCACCTAGAAGCAACTCCAGTAAGATTCTGAAAGAAGTGTGCTGGTGGTGCCGAAAATGCTTTTTTCTTTCCCGAACGGTTAGTTAAGCTTATACTACAAATATGGGGGAAAAAGGGAGGGAGATAAGTATACTGAATAAGAAATAGTGACTGCTGTCATATGTGTAATCCTATCATAGGGTGCATGCATAGTCGGTCGCCCGATCGTGACGATCGTTACGATCGGACAACTGATTATGAATGCGCCATACCCCAAATGAAGCACGCAAAAGAAAATGGCACTTATACACTGCGTTGCAAAAATATAAATCCACCTGGAAAGTTCTTGAAAATTCGCATGATAGGGTGTTTCTGAAAAAGCCTTTGAAAGAAAAATGTGCTCAATATAAATATAATTTCGAGTGTAAACACCAACTTCCATTTCGAAAACACGAAAATTTTTTATTTTCATTTTTCAGAAAAGGGCCACTTTGCCGATTGTGCAAAAATATAAATCCACCCCATGTTTCTCGGTTGAACTTCATTGTTATTTGGCGTAACTGTCAGGTTGTTTCCACTTCCTCTTTCTTAGGTGATGACGGAAGTAACACCGCTGTCGGGCTCAGAAAAAAGGCAAAATCTACAAAATAGTGGGGAGATTTGCCGTGCAGTCAAATCGCGCGTGATTTGAGCCCCGTTAACGTGGTTGTTAAGCATTTCGTCAAGAACTCTGCAGCATGTGGAATCCAGAAGAGCATTGAACCCTTTTCTTCGCGTTTCAGTTGCGATGACCGTAGTGTTATGGGAAAAGCAGCCGATTCTCCCAAGGGGTGCTCAGGAACTCAACCTTCAAAAAAACCTAATTTTTTAAAAGACACCGTTGGGCGTGTGTTAGAAGGACTCTGAGACCTTAACTGTTCAACGGACAATTTAGAAAAGGAGTAGGAACACACATTTAAAAATCCGGAATCATCGCAAAAATCAAGCCAAAATTCCCAAGATCAGTGGTCTGGCCGGAGCAAGGCCATATTGGCCGCGTAGTACCTTTTGATGGCCGCCTTCACTTTTCTTACTGGTTTCCTTTTTCAATATGAGTTCCTTTCTCTCCAAAACACACTGCAG